ACACACACACACACACACACACACACACACACACACACACACACACACACACACACACACACAATCATACACACACACGCGAGCATCTTGACCCAACACCAGAACTGCACATTCAATTGTTGTCCCGCATGCCATTTACCCGGAGTTCACCAATGACACGATGACGCTCTCCGTCCCGGTCTTCAAGGGTGAAGTGATGGGCCGCACTTTCGTGGGTTGGGAACATTTTCATAAGTTTTACATCTGTTCGCCTCATCTCCCATGCATTGTCATGATTGCCGAAGTCACGACCCGTGAGATCAAACACGGGAACGTCGTCCACGAGGGGGTTAGGGCGGCTCATTTGTACGTCTTCGCCAGTCTCGCGGGCGACATGTTGCGGGAGGTAGCAATCGTCATCGAATAAACGTCGTCGATTCTACCCAATGAGGGGATGATTGAAGTAGACCCTGTCTGGGATCTGATCGACCTTTGTGTATCATCTGTCGTTTTCGAGTTCGACTCGGAAGGCGACGGATTGATACGTATGGATGCCACTTACAGGACGATCGCCCTGCCGCCCCTGCATGGCAGACCGTACATGACCGACCGTATCAAGGTCGGTGATAGGGGGAGCACATTTGTATTCACCTGCGGTTGCGCAGGGACCTCATCTTGAGTGGGTCAATGGCTTCGCCAGGCAGGGGGGGGGAGGGGGGGGGAGGGGGAATTTCCCCAAATAGTTATGTTGAGGGGTTGGGGGGGGGGGGTTACATGGGGCGGGGCGGAGGAGGGGTCACCTTTTGTGGCGAGGGTCGTTCATGTTTTTGGAGGCGAAAGCGGGGATGTCGACACGTCTGCAGGGCAGGGCGGGTCGGGGCGGGAGGGATGCTAGGGATTTTCACGTCGATGAAAGCCAACAGGCGGTCCTGGATGTGGAAGCGATATGTGTAAACTTTCACATGACCTTCAGCCGGTGAGTCCACCTTTTGTTTCACCCGTGCATGAGGGTCCCAGTGCAGCGATTGCTTGGCGAGAAGATAAAGTAGTAGACTTTCAGGTCGCCGATGCGCACTTCACCTCCACAGCGTCGTCGCCTCGTTGTCATCACCGCGAAAGAGTCCATCGTCCATATTCACGTCGGTCACTGTTTTCTGACGTTTGCTAGCGAAAGATCTTTGAGGCATCGTCTGCCAACGTCAGCATTGTCCGCCGCCTTCCGGAGATTTGCGAACGTGGACCATTATCGCCCCACTGCCGTCGACGACGGCACTCGAGGAGCTTTCTCGCCGCTCTCCAACCCACGGAACTCCACATGCAGATTTCCCGCCGCAGCGCACGTGCACCTTTATCGACATCGCGCACTCGTCGAAGTTCTGACTTCCTGGTGGTTTGCCATCTTTTACCGTCGCGATGCCATCTTCGGCACAAGCAATGTGCAGTGGAGCCTCCGAAGAACAACATGTTGACTAGAGGCAGTGCCTGTGGGAGGAAGCAGGACGCCTTCCCATAGGACACTGGAGGCCAGGAACCCGGGCATCACCACGTCCCCAAGGCGAAAAGGGGGCATCACGAAGGAGCCTCCGACATCGGAGGAGCTGTGGGGATGGATGGGTGGGGAAGACCATGATCGCAGTCGATGCACTCACACGTCCCCCTTAGACACGATCGTTGGCGGGAATGTCCCCCGTGTGTGCTTCATCAGTGACGTCAACGTCGATCACTGCCTCCTCCTGTCCACGTGTCTCTCGTCGACCCGCACGCGCCGCTGCTGTCGAAACGCCAACCCCATCACGTCAGCCTACGACACCGACGACCCATCGACAACGGCATGCGGCGGAGGGTGGTGATGTTCACCCTCTCGTGCATGCAGGTGGGGCCACAGTCGTCGCCGCGAGTGGGGCTGCAACGTCGCGCGGGGTCGAGATCATCGTCGCAGCCGGGGCTGCGACTTCACGCGGAGGCGAGGTCATTGCCACGGGGGGGGCAGGGGCATCGCGCGGGCGGTGGGGGTGGAGGGGTTAGAGAAGACGGTGATCGACAAAGGGATGGTGGGCGTGCAGATAACAAGAACGAGCAGGAGGACGACGAACCCCTTGTCAACAGGCTTCGAAGGGGAGGTGTGCTGAAGGAACTGTTCGAGTGGGCGACACTATGGGTCGATGACAAGTCTTTCTGGACGAAAGGGGAGGGTCGGCGACTGTACAACATCATCGATGAGACAAACGAATACTTTGACGCCATCACCAGTGGCCTTGCTGTGCCAGTAGTGCCCCGCAACGTCATCATGCAAAAAACGAGGATATCGACGATCAGGATCACAAATCATGCGCAGCTGCAGCAAGCGCTGAGCCTCGCCACCAAACTATAGAATGTCGCTTTGTGCGTTATCCACGGCTGGGTCTTCAAGTCCGCCAACTTCTCCATAGGATACAGTTTTGCGTTCCAGTACACGCTGGAGTCTGTGGCGACCAACATAGCCTGCGCGATGTGGTACGGCGAGGAGTGTTGCAACATCATTAGCCCCATGGTATGCGCGCACACGCTCGATGTGGACATGGATTTGCCAGTGGAGGGTGATGATCTGCGGTTGCACTACGAGGCATTCTATTTTGTAAACCTCACAGCCAAACCCACGCTCGTCGCGTCTATGCATCGCGTGTTCGACCATAGACGAAGCATACTCCAAGCCGCCAACGCCGTCACGGAGAGGCTAGGGAAGGCTAACCTCACGTTGGAAGACTTCCCGAAGTACATCCTCGACTTGGCACCTTGCAGCGTAGCCTTCAACCACGACGCAAGCATATCAGGGTCGGACGACACAAGGCGGCGAGAGTGGTTGGGGACGGGACCCCCGGAGGGTGATGATGACGAGGCTAAGTAGGGCGATGAGTACATCGGTCCCGGTAATGGCGGAGGAAGGGGGAGGGGGGGGAATCGGGGGAGTAGGGTGTGGGGGGAATTGCTTGGGTATGGGTTATATTCGTTTGCCTTTGTTGGTAGTGTGGCTCGTAAGACGTCTGCATTGCAAAAGGGGGAATGTTTGTAGGAATGCGTTCCCCACTTTCTTTTCTTTTTTGTTTCTGTTTTGAACTCTTCGGCCCCACAGGTGACAAGGACTTTGCTCACAACATGTTAATGACGCGTTTGTAATTGTTGTTTGTACGTCGTGTTTGGCCTTCCGGCGGTGCAACTTCTGTATTCGTCGGGCTTTATGAATGTGGCCATTTTTTTGGTTCACCTCTGCATAAAGCCAAGCCATGTTAGTACGAGGACGTGTTGGATTCCTCTTTTGTTTGCATGCTTTGTGAGTGAGTGACACTGTGTTGGACGTGAAGGCATGTCACAACTTCGACTTCTGCTAATGTGTGGCATAGTGAACCAATTAAATAAGCACATGCATAGAAAAAAAACTTTTATGTGTTCGACACGACGGATACACTACTTTTTGGGTCTTACAAAAAGGTAAGACAATGAAAAAAAAACAAAACCACCACAAAAAAGGACAATTGTTGTCGCACCACTCTGCCTTTAAGCATTCCGTAAACACACGTTCACATTGCACTGACAAATTCGAGTCATCCAGGGACACATGCAACCCGAACAACGACTGCAAATGAAAATCACGGTGAAGACACGAACATGCAACTGTAAAACGAAATCATCCAGTGAGAAAAAAACACGAGTGCACGAGAGGAAGATGGCGAAGTCCTTCAATTGGACATCGCATGATTAGTGGCAACCACATGCCCGAAAACATGTCACACAACAGAACCGATGACATGGCAACAACCCGCCCCCGCGCATGAGGACGCGTGGCGCTACCCACGTTTAGGATTTTAACCCCCCCCACCCCCCCCGGTCTCCCTCCATCAAACGGTGTGCGTACATCGCTGCCTTCATCAACTGGCCCACCCAAGTAGGACGAAAACGAACAGCAAGCGACGCACTCCTCTCCAGCAGCATTGACACGTGGCAAACCAACGGCGAGACGACATTTGACACTTGGCTGGCAGCGTAAAAAATGAAAATAAAATAAAAAACAGTAATGCTGGCCATGACGGCAGAAGTCATGTCCATCACCGTTTCGTAACTCATTGTTGCCACGTGGCTGCTTTGCGTAAGAAACATAGATGTCGACGCAGACAGAGGCGGCGATGATGGGCACGGGTCACTCTCGTTTCATGCGTTCCGCCAAAGCATCCTAGAGGGCTAACGCCTCGTCTGTCGAAGTCCCTATACATACTCGCCGAAGAGGGCATTGAATGACGAGGTCCACACGTCGCCGCACTCCATTCGCATCCTCTTCCCGCAACAAATTTTCATCGAAGGGAATGCCAGCATCGATGAGGATGTTGTGGAGTATACAGACGGTGATGAACTGCTGCAGGACCGTCTCCAAGTTCATCTTGTGTGTCCGTAGAAACAGCCTCGACATACCCTTGAGCTTGTTGAACCCCCTCTCCACAACTCCTCGCGCCACCTTTTGCTTGTTGTCAAACCGCTCCTCATCGGCACGCTGATTGATGCCCCTGTACGGAACGACTATCCATTCGGATGGGGGGATACCCATTGTCGCCCAGCAAGTAGCCGTTTGTCCGCACCCCATGTGGGAGAGTCACAGGAGGACAGCGGAACAACAACCCTTCCTCCGCGCACGCCCATAAACTAAAGAGTTGAAGCACCCTGATGTCATGGCAGCTTCTCGGGTAACCGAAATGCATGTCCAACACACGCAAGTCGAGGTCGACGACCACCTGCACGATGATGGAGAACCTCCTCTTCCTGTCATAGTAGTTTTCGTTGGGGGCGTTCGCCAGCTTGTCGAAGTAGAATCTAATGTGAGTGCAGTCGATGCATTCGTGGCAGTTGGGGAATACCTTATCAGCGAACGCGCGGGGGACTACAAGCTTCCGCAAACCCGTTGCCCAGGCGATCTTGTCACCGTACACCCTCAACAGCGGGGCGGTGACGTCACGCACAGCAACGAGGCCTGAAGCTCTGCTGATGCCAAAGCTGCAAGTGTTGCTCTTGTACGTCTGCCCCGATGCCCACCTGTACATCGCATATGCCAGAATCTGGCCGGGCTGCAGTGGCTCTCTGTAGAATGTCACCTGCCGCTGAAGATGAGGTGCACACGCCTTTGCGATCTCCCGGAACACGCGTGGTGACATGCAAAGCTTCTCGCGGAAGTAATTTTCAGTGGCTTCGTCGCATTACCGAAGGTCTTCCCACGTGCCCCCCGTCCTGCGCTTGATCCACCACCTCGGTGTCACTCGTGGAATGATCCCGCAACCCAACACGTAGCACAACTCAATGACAGCCTTTGAAGTCGCCACGTATTCGGGTCCGTCATCTGGAGCTTGCACGAGTGTCCTTCTTCTACGCGCGAGCAGCTGCGCCTTCATTCGCTCCAACGCCCTCTCATGCTGACAACGGAGAATAACTGTAGACAACACCGCCGCCACGACCGTCCTCTCCAGCGGTGTCAACAGCACGCGCCCAGCGTCACCACTACCCTTCATCGCCCAGACTTCGGCAAAATTACATTTATCCGCATGCCGCAACGATCGTCGGCCTGGCGACACTTCCACAAAGTTGCTTCCGCTTATGCCGGATGGAATGCACTGAGTAGATTTGGCTCTTATCTTTCTGTTGTAGGAATTTTAGTTTTTTTTGTGGTTGTTTATCTCACTTTAATCAGTGAAGTGCGCGCTCTGCAAGCGCCTTGGGTAGTTGAGCCAAATTCAACTACACTTGAATGGCGACACTTCCGCAAAGCTGCTTCCTTCCTCATGAGGCCGTTGTCCTGCCCGGTGTGTGGCGCACGATGCAGTCTACGCCGCCTGCGTCGATGGCGATGGACGCCAACACACTACACACATTCACACACAACGCTACGTTTCCCGGGAAGGGTCGCCGCCGCTGAGCCCAATTCGCCCGTTGCCCTTCTGCGCGTCGCCTGCAGATCATCGCCGTCACCACGACCCCGCATTTCAAATTCGATTTTTGAATACGTTGGTACCGCCGTTTTTTTTTTTTTTTTTCCCTTCTGCCCTCTCCCTGCCCTTTCCCGCCCCACGCTGCTGGACCATGCCGTCTCCACACAGACACATCTCATGGACCACGGACACTTACCCTGGCCGCGTATAATCGGCCGCGGCAGGCCACAAGGAAACCGTCCTTGGGGGTTGTCCCTGAGGACGTGTGGAACGAGGTCGCAAAATTTACTTGAGAGCCACAAGGATTTTTTTTTTTTTTTTTTTTTTTTTTTTTAAATCCGAACACACCGCCTGCAGTGCTAGTGCTGCTGATAAGAGCAGGCAGTACTAGCACCCGGGGGGAGGCTCCATCTATTGGTGGGGAGCGTCACCTGTTGGAAAGCGGGTCCAGCGTCTCTTTATACAGGGTGAAGGAGTCAAAGAGACCTGAGAAGGGCGCCTGCCAGCATTGATTATCCTGGATTCCAGGGAATTGACTAAGCAGGACTTTATGAAAAAAACTCTTGAGAAAAGGTCTGCAGGCCTGCTCTTTTTTTTTTTTTTTTTTTTTTTTAAAGCCCTTGCGCCATCCCTCTATCCCAGCAATGGTGCGAGAACTGCCAGGATTGATGGCTTGTCTATTGGGCTGTTCCATCTATTGGTGGGGAGCGGCACCTGCTGGAAACCGGGTCCAGCGTCCCGTTGATACTTCACATAACACGTCGCTTGAGACCGTTTTTTCCTGGGGCTGTGGTTACTTATCTTGTCTGTCCTGGGCTCCATTATCCCATGGAGCTGCTAGTGGTACCCGTCCCGTCCTGGAGCAACACTTATCTATTTACCCAGCCCCGTTCTGCAGCCCCCTGATGATGGTTTCATTTACCTGACTTTTATAAACTGACTCTTAAACCTTTCGAACCGTTTTAAACCCTTCCCATTCGGTACTCCAGTGCTTAACTCTTTAAGCCCTTTTAAACCCTTTAAAACCCCTTAAAACCCCTTTAAAGCCCTTTACCTAGTCCACTCACTTCCTTACCACCTTCTCTATCCTTGGCCCCCACAGATCAGAATCTATACAAGAAGGTCTGACAGGAGGCAACCTACATTTATGTTACAATGCAATTAAGTAAGGTTGAAAACCCCTTCCCCTTCGGTACTCCACTGCTTAAACCCTTTAGGCCCTTTTAAAACATTTGAAACCCTTTGCCCAGACTGCTCACTTCCTTAACACCTTCTCGATCCTTGAGCCCGACAAAACAGAAACTATACAAGGAGGTCTGAAACAACAGAAAAATTCCCACAAGAAATGAAAGTTGAAAAAACATTCCATAAAAAAAAAATCCTTCATATTTATAAATTATCATTCCAATATTCGTCCAATTCTAAAATTTCCAGTTTTATTTGATAAGTTCCCGTCTAAATATAAGTTTTTCCTTCCAACCACATCTATTTGTTCAAGATGGAATGGAAGTCTGGACGAGTTTATGAAATGTTTTAATTAAACTTTCATTCTACCACAACAAATATTTTCTAATTTCGATTGGATTAACCTATTTATGACTGAAAATCCTTACTTAGAATAACAGTCCAATTAAAATATTTCATGAACTCGTCCAGACTTTCATTCCATCTCTAGCATCCAGTTCAAATAAGAAGGGATACCCCATTCTTGGAAGGAAAGTTTTCAAGCAAGACGGTAAATTTTAAAATTGGAATGATATTTTTTAAGATGGAATGAAAATTTAAAATTTAGAATGTAATTTTACTATAAAATGATTATTTAATTCTAGGAAATTTTTATGTTGCATGAGGTCTGACATGACGCAACCAACATTTGCGTTACAATGCAGTTAACTAAGGATGAAAGTGAGTCAGAGAGGATTATGCATCTGCAGCTGTATGAGAAGGGTATTCTCAGATTGTGTGAAGATCCTTTGCTGTCGGTCCCATGTGTTTCTCCTGGCCCCTGTAACTCGAGGCACATCATATGTCTGGTGCTCTTCCTCCATCCTTATACCGGGAAGCACGAAAATTGCTTTGATTTGATTGAAGTGTACGTTGCCTGGCTCCTTCTGAGTTCAAGTTGCTGTTTCTTTCTTAGATGTCGATTACCGAGCTGCTAAGGGTGAATGATCCGGGTGGCCGGTGGCTGGGCGAGGAACAGGGCGGTGCAGAGGCGGGGTGAAGTGGGTCGGTGGTGTTACGTGCGGGTGCAGGCCAAGATGGTAGCGGTGGGGGAGGGAGAGGCGGGCCAGAGGACTGGAGGTCCGCTGG